ACTACACAGGTTTTGGCGTAGGTAAACGGTTTGAAAAGTGGTGTGATTTCGGTTCAGATTTTCTAACAGAGAGTAGAGCTGGCTTGTATGGAATTGTTCTCAACAATCTTYAAGGTAAGTTTTTGTGTTTCGAATCGTGTCTTGTAGTAGTAACTATTTTAGTATTACTGAGTTAACTTGTAGATGCAGAGAAACAAGAAGAAAATCACCCACGGTAATTTCATCAACCCATGAACGCTATGGAAATAAATGAAATCAAGTTCGTCAAGCTTTTTAGATTGAATAAGCAGCTGGTGCTCCAATTGATAGAAAATTTGATGCCCTATCTTCAAGCAATATAGAAATATATCTGAAAACAATATTGAAATTGTAATTGAGAAACCAGTTCAACAATAAATAGATTTAATTGATCATTATAAGAATAAATGAATAAATACAGACAAATGTATTGTTGCGGCTTGATTTTTAGCGCACAGCTTCCAGCGTTTTCGGGACGCCTAGCTCGATACTTCGAGAACGAACGGTAATAGTGGATTGGGCTATGGAATTCCCGAAAAATGGAGAATCTTCGCAGGTCGTCGAGAGCCCTTGCGCTTTAATATAAATAAGGCAAGGCGACCGGAGTGAATTAATTCATTCAGAGTTAATCAGACAGCTATACAGTGAAATATTTAAAGCGATATACAGAGTGTGTTCGATTCGCGAGCTATAGTTTTGAGTTAGTGATTATTATAGTTGGTATTTGGGAGTTCAATAAATTGTTGTGTTATTTTATTTGCTTACTGGAATCATTCGAACCCCGGGAAACGTAACAGTATAATATTTTATATAAAGCATTAACAGTTTTTAAATTTAGAGAGATATTAAAAAAACCTGTTTAATATTAAGGAAGGTAAATACATTTAAAAATATAATATAAGAAAGGTAAAGTCAATATTATAGAAAATCAATATTCAAATACGGTTGAAGACGCTGCTCTGTGAGAAACACTCACCTGATAAATAATTTCAAACACTAGCACACAGTAACAGTGTTGTTGCTCATAATTTTGATGTTGAATTCAAACAGGAACTAATGATACCGCAAGATACTTTTCGGCCCGAGATTTATAGGAATCTTAGAGGGCTCTTGAAAGTTAGAACAAAAGCACTGGCCCCACATACCCCACCCGTGTTCCCTTGGAAGTCCGCGGGAGGTGCTCATTCAAACGATCTTCAATAAAATTTTACAACTTTATGCTGATTTATTCAAGTCATATAATATATTTCTATTTCCCTAGTATAACAGCTTTAAGCTTTAGCTGGTATAACATTTTTAATATTTTATTTAAAATGCCCGCCAATTGTTTGACCGTTAGATAAATCGTCGTCTCTTAAAAGTAAATTTGAGTCAAATTTCTTTGATAAAGTTGTTGGCAACAACGCTTTCCTTTAATGCTTCTCACATCGTTTCCTATGCATTCGAGAATACGGTTTTCGAACCATAGTAGAAAGGGCGGAGAAGGGAATGGTCACATCGGTGATGGGATCGTTCACGTTCTTTCGATCTCGAGAATTGGGCACCTGGAAGGCTCTGCTGCAATTATGTCCAATACTTGTTCTTCTGTGCCTGGAACCCGAACATCTATCGTCCACTATCTTCCTGGAACCACTCTCCTCGCCCTTTGTTGGCGTGAGTTCTTTCAGCTTTTGTAGCATTTCCCCGGAATTAATCGCGTATCCGCAAATTCGTGAAAGGAAATTCAAAGTAAGTCACAGTTTGACAAATTATTGTTAATATTGACGTGGGCTATCCACCTGTAAATCTGTTAATGACAAAAAACATAATTGCCGCCGTGCCTTTTCATCAAAAAATTGTAGAAGAGAACATTTTTGAAATAAAAAATTTTCGTAATTTGAAGCAAAGATGGTAATTTTTCCTTTTGAATGCTTAAGTATTCCAATATGCTACCAATTAAACATAGAACAATTTCAAAATAATGCTTAATAACAAAGTTGAAATTCGATCTTTAACTGTTAATATCTTAGAAATTTTAGAAAAAACATTTTCAATATTTTTCTCGTACTCCCCAAGGGAGCCTCTATCACCACTTAAAAGGAATGACGCCAACTTTGAATCACCCTGTATTAATTAATTAGTGTATTAAGTGGACCAGAAATAACAAATGATGAATGTAGAGCATTAATAAGACAACTGAAACAACAACCAGGTGGTAACAAATCAGCAGGTTTAAATTATATGTACGGAGAAGTTCTTAAGCTAATGGAATATGAACAAGTCGCGGTCCTTATTGGTATTGAATATAATACATGCCTACAGACTGGTTAATATTGACAACGATACCAGTTCAATGGGTATGAATATTCTTAAAGAGTTGCTGATTATCATTCACTCCCGTAAATATAAAAAAAACTTGAGAAAATGGAGCTCATATAACGGTCCCTAGGCGAAAGAACCAGGATTGTTCAACGGTACAGGATCTGGCAGGCAGTATAACCTGATTAATTTCTCAACAGCACGTCATGCATGGGAACCCCAGGATAAATATTCATACGATCCGCGCGGCACTTGGCATCAGATCGGCTCCCGATTGACTTATGTTAAATTGGCGACCTGATAAGTGGCTGTAAGTTTTATCATCTGAAATACGGAATTGTACAAGCTTTAAAGTTCTGACCTTTATATCGATACTAATGTATGCACTTTGTATACAGTTGTGATGTGAGATTTGATTACTTTGGAATACTCGTACGACTAGTTACTTTTGGATTCAGTACTCTGTACTTCGGATCAGTTATTGAAGTACTCATTTTAGTCTTCAGTCTTATGAAAGTAGAGGGCATATATTGGTATTTTATTAGTGCCTTTCAGATTTGTTGCGGGGGCACTTTAGTTACCTATACAAACAATATATCTCTTCTTCTTCTGAGGCCTCGTCTGTCTTCAGACGTTGGCTCTCATCATATTTAAGTTTTCTTGAAATCTTTCTCATTCGGCAGCCGCCGACTATTAATATAAGACCATACTATTGTCCATATGGAACCCTCGAATTTATGATTCCCCTAATAGATATATTGATGTCTAAGAGTAGATAATCAGACCATATTTAAGTCAGTTGTTATTGAATTGGCCTATAACGGATAAGCCTAGAATTTTACCAATAGTGCGAATATGCCTTCCATTTGAAAAAAGGTAAGTTTAGTCTGTTATTTGAATTTGAGGCACCCTGTATCAATTGTTACTATCTTCAAATAAACCAGACGTAGATCTGGATCTACAACTTTTGTATTTAACATTTTTCTCTGATTTTGAAGCCACAGACCGGGAACATGTAAGGAATATAAAATAATAAGTCTGCAGTTTTTTAGATAAAGGTTTGTGTTTAAGCTCACAGTTACACATCATTGCGACAACGGCAAAAATGCTGAAAATGTTAATTTTGATTTTCAGTCCGTAGTTATAAGTTCTATTTTAATTTATTTAATATTCATTTAATAAGTTTTAGTTTAGTTGTAAGTAACTCTTGTTGTTGAAAAATTACAACAACAGTAAATACTTCATTCAACTGAACTTAAATATGTTAATGAATATTAGTTAATAAGATGAAATAAAAGATCGTTTTTCTTTCTGTATACATATGTATGTATATTCCTTGAACATGCCAAGACATTCACTGAACATACCATGTACATTCCCAGAAAATACACATGTATATTCTCTGAACATACCATCTATATTCACAGAACATCCACATATAGATTCACTGAACCTACCAGGTACATTCCCAGAACATACACATGTACATTGACTGAACATACCATGTACATTCCCAGAAAATACACATGTATATTCCCAAAACATACCATGAACATTCAGTGTATTAACTCTGACAGAGTAATGATGATAAAGATAGAATGTTCATAATGGAACCCATGTATGTCCCATAAATATGCGTCTACTTTACATGAACATTACATGTTCCATGTATATTCTGGGAACATCATTTTGCTATGTGGGAAGTTTGTTATGTGTAGTTTTGACGATTTTTGACCGTTTTAACCAGTTTTTAGCCATTTTCGACTTTTTTGACCATTGTTTGACGTGTTATGTTTAACTGTTGATTAACTAAATTAAAATGAAGTGTATTGGGCTACAATCTGCTGGACGCTTCAAATGTCGCCCAGCGTCGAGTAAATTCGTACAAAGAAATCAGGGAATCAGCCAAGGTGGAAAAGAGGAGAAAAGAAAAGAATAAAATAAATAGAGTAAAGTAGCTAATACCATACCTTATAGTTGTGTTCAAATATCTCTTGAATACATGTGGTTTCTTCAGTATATATTTTGCTTTCCTCATCTATACTTTGGAGAATTAAATCTAAAAAGCGCTTTCTCTGGAACATTATCATCTTAAATAAAATGACCATGGTTAGAAGGGACAACCAAATATTATCGATGACCCCTGTATAATCTCTATTGGATATTGCTTCTGAGATGTTCCGAATTGACCCGAAAGTTAGAAGGGTAAACAGCGCTTGAAGCACCATTGAATACAGCAAATATAACCATTGATAGAACCTGTTATCTGTAAGTTTCAGACGCCAAAGTCCTGCCAATATCATTATGAATTTGAAACTGTGCATCAGTTTTACACGGTCTTTCATCTTGACTTGAAATACACAATATCAAATGAAACGTGCCACAAAGCAGGTTTCTTCGGTGGGTCTTCTGCCGTAGTATTATAATATTCAATCGTCGGGTAAATAATTGAAAAGCACCGGAAAACAAAACTGAAAATTAAAGTTCCTATTTCAAAAGAACTATCTATTATGCTAATGTGTATTGATATCAATATTATTTTTCAAAGGGATTTTGTTCAATAAACCGCTATTATTTAATGTTCAAAGTATTTTGAGATTCGCGAATAGCAATTATATTAATGCAAATCATCATTAATATCTGTACTCGTATTTCTTTTAAGAAAGGACTGTTCCTCACTTAAGCATAAATTATGCAATAAAGCGAATGTAGAGCGGTTTGCATGATCCATGCAATTCAGTTTCAGTTTTTCATTCTTTTTAATTCACAATCGTTATATAAACAGTTGGTGATCTTAAAAGTCAATATTTTACAAATCCACCAATAAAACATTAATTTCAAGAGATATGAAGAACATGTCAATTTTCACTAAGAGAGTAATTATCACTTTTAATTAAACATTGAATGATCAAAAAATGTCCATAAAATGATAATGAAATAATTTAGTGTTAATACTAAAGCAACAGGCAGTTTTTGCCCAAACTTTGATGTTGCATAAGTTTCGATCGATCTCCCTGGAAACTGTTGAGATAGATACCCTCGAACGGGTGTAGCATTGTGCTTAGAAGCTCCGTTTTTTGACACCAGCAATTTTATACATTTTTTAGTGGCAGAATAACCCAGACAGCATTTGACATTCTATCAATATCCCAGAATTTTCAAAAAATATACAGAACATTGCGGGAATATCCTGGGAATATACATTGGTAAACATTCCTAACGTGAATGTTCGTGGAATATACATGTATGTATATTCATCAAAGTTCATAAAAGTTATATCCTGGGTATGTACATATATGTACATATTGTGTATATGTGCAGATGAATATACCAGGTATGTTCAAAACAAATATACATGAATGTAAATCCACGGTATATTCCAAATTGGTTGATTGCGTGCTTTTGCACACAATTTTGCGTGCACCCAGTGGAAAAGTAAGGGCACGTACAAGCAAATTATTTTTTACTTCTAACTTGAGTAAATCACCATTATTTAGTGCTTTTCCTTATTGAGAATTCAAATTTCTCTGTCTAGGTCAATACCAATGATAGAATAATACTTAGGTAAATAATACCAATATTTTAGTTTTTCATTATTTAAATTTTGCCGGTCTCTCTAAGTTTAGCTACTTTGGTACAGAAGTCTATTAAATACCTCGCTCGCTATATATATTTAAATGTAGTCGGTATATTACAGCTTACTTTTTGCCTTAGATACATGAAATAGCATTTTATTTATGTTCAGAATTAAATGCAAAAATAGAACGTGCTCTCAAATTCTTTCCATTGTTTCTTCTGATCCTAGTGTTAAACCTTATTTATTTGCAAAAAAATTGTGGTTTTGAGAAGAACCGATTTGTGTTTGATTAGGTATGTTTCTACTTTAAGATAGGAAAAAACATTACTCTATTGTTATGCTCGGCGATTTTTCAGTTTTGGGTTTAGGTGCTTTTGGTTTTCGTCAGGCCTGGTTTATTTGATTTCTTGGGTTGTTCTGTGATTACGACCATCGATAAGGGCCATTTTGTCTGCTGTTTCAGATTTTTCCACTCGATTGGATTTTTCCAGTAATATCTTCAGTTGCGCTGAGGTTCCCGAGTGAGGAGTCTTACCACTGAAATTTTGGATTCGATGGCCAGGGACAGTCTGTAATGCGCACTATGGCAGAACATGGCGTAACCTGTTTCGGACATTGTTTATATGAACTTTTCTTTATAAATGCGTCAACGTTATAATTTTATTGGTCAATATTAAGAAAACTTCTATATTACTCATTTACATTGATCCCGAGATAGCAGTTTCCACTCTATAAAATCTAAACAATTAAAATGCATATTACAAATTCAAATTACCCGCCTAGTGTGTACACGGATTACGTCCGGCTATAACGTGACATTCGAGAGTCGACCGGACCAATGAGAATCATCTTTTACGCAGTGTTGCTTGGCGATAACGCCAAAGCTCTAAGAATTTCTGAAAAGCTGCAAAGCTTATAATTTATTGGTTATTGGCATAAACAAATTATTATGTGCTTTTTTTTGCCGGTGAGGTTTGGGAAATGCTCTTTTATGCACTCCCAGAGCTAGTGGTATGTCGCTCTGGGTTGTGTGGGACTCCAGCTGAGCTGTTTACCCACTAAAACCCTTTCCTCACCGCCGAGGTGGTGTTTGGCCTTGCACCGCGGTCATTTCTGTCCTATCTACCTATCCTATTCTGTACATTCAATAAATTCCAGAAGAATCTTGAGGGAAGTTTGCATGATCTGGTCTGGTGGAATTTCATCTCCTCCCAGGAGCCTTCGTCTACCTGTTGCATATGACGTGCAGTGACACATAACATGCAGAGTAGTTTCGTCCTCTAATTTGCAACCCCTGCAGGTCGGTTGATCGCTCAGTCCCATCCTGAAGAGGTGTTTTTTGCAGGGGGCGTGTCCTGTTAAAAAGGCCACTATCCTCCTTATTTTTTGCTTGCTGAGACCTAGCAGTTCATTTTTACGTACTGGTTGTGGAGGTCCACCAAATGCTTTGCGGTATGGAGTCGCGGTGTCTCCTCCCAGTACTTTCTCTGTTGTTCCAAGATCTACTGCCCAACTGCCACCCTAACTTGGGCATGAGATATACTACAAGCAGGTTCTTGGTTAGCCAGTGGTTTCTCGGTCCCTGCCTTAGCAAGTTCTGCAGCAATCTCGTTTTCTTAGTTCCTGTTCGTACCAGTTGCCCAAGTGAGTTTTACTCTGTTTGGGCTCCCGGCCAGGGTTGTAAGTTCTTTTACACAATCTAGCACACATTGTGACCTGATTGTGTACGATTCTGATGCTTTTATTGTGGCTTCATCTCCGGTTATGATGGTAATGTGCTTACGTGTGTAGGATCTTTCCTT